GGCAGTTCTGAATTAGATGACAGTGTTCCTGTTAATCTTTTTTTGCCTTTTTTAGACCTGGTTCTAGTAGACTGTTTTAATAATGCCTTCAGACCTTGCAAACCTGGTCCCTACCTAAACATCAGAGGAGCAGGAAATGTTTTTATTCACAAGCAAAATGCCCACTTCTTGCACTTAAAAGTCTGACAGGACTTTTGTCTCCTCAGGTGGCCCAAATAATATCTAGTATATCTTCCACCAAGGATTTTCAGGAAGCAGAGGAAATTTTTTCACTGTCTTTAGACTTGACTGTGAAACCACCTCTCTGGCGAGTTTTATCATAAAAAATATAAATCATATAATTAAATAGTGCTTAAATTTCTGGACTTATCTATCACTTATTCAGCATTTACTCTCAGGGCATTTATAGACATGCTCCAGGAGGCAGAGGAGGTGCTTTAAATAGAGTGGCTCCAAGAGCAACTCTAATAAAAGCACCCAGAGCGTCACATGTATCAGCATCCCTGTGATGAAAAATGACAGCAGGAGAGGTTTAATTAAACCTTGTTGAACTTTGTTAAAGTACCCCTGCTGCCATTTTTCAGTGCGGGGACTCTGATACGTGTGATGCTGGAGTCTGCTGGAGCACGGTAATATCCACACTCCAGCAGACAGCACATCAGAACAGCCTCTCTGCACATGTATAAGCATCCTTATTGATCAAAACATTCTTGACTTGGAAACAGAAGAAATTTTGCTGCTGTTTCTGGTGTAGAAGCAAGGATCAATAAAGTTTAGCTACACCCTGGTGGTAACAGTTCTTTGCAAATAGGTTTTATTGTTTAATGTAGAGCTGTCCTGTTTCTGAGTTGCTGGGACCACACTCTGTGCTAGCTGTGGGGCAGGGGCAGGAAGTGGAACCTGGAGAAAGGAAGGGAAGCCTAGTGACCAGCAGCATGAGCAGTGGAAGGAGAAGTGACTGGACAGGAGTCTGTAGACTGCAAATTAACCCCTCATGTGACCTGTCGACTGCTGGTTAAACCCCTGGTTTAATGTAATCTGCAAGTTCCCTAAAGAGCGAAGAGACACGTGGAACCTTGCATGTATAAATTGTGGGTGTGTATACATCCTTGGAGACTCAGTGAAAGCTCTTTGGAGAAGCAGTTGCATAAGGATAATTAATTAATTAATTAAGTATGGAGCATTAAATGTTGGAAAGCTCTAATTAGGCAACCAATGAGCTATATTATCTGTTTTTCTACTCAACTCTGCATATTTTCTTATTTAATCTTCCCAGAATTACCCTATCTTCTAACTGTTTGTATCTCTTGTTCATTCTTAGCTATTGTTTAGATTGTCACATTTCTGGTACAGAGACTCTTATTTCTTTCATGTATATATGATGACTAGTAAAGTAGGATTCTGACGTTTGATTTAAATTTCTGACTGCTGTGATAATACACGTAAATTTAAATGCTTCATTCAGGTGCTTCAGGGTCCAAACCATCTCTAAATACATATTTTTTAACCAGATCTCAAGAGGTTGAGAGAGCACTACTCCTCTCCAACAAGGAAACTAAAATCATAACAACAACACTTGCCATGTTACCCAGTGCTTTTGTAGACAGCACTATTAATACTTTGCCTACTTAGTTGTACTGCCTCTTCTCTCCCAAAGGTCTGAGGGAGGGTAATTTGTTATCCAGAAGCTTGCCTATGTCTATCCCAACCATGTGATTGGTCAAATAAAACATATTATCTGCAAGAATTCTTGCCTTTCACATATTTTCTGGACCGTCACAATAACAACATCACCTCAATACTTTTAATACTTCGGACGTCTCGTAATTTTTGCCAGTTTTTGCCTGATCCATCTCCTGTTTGAGTGAATGAATTTTAAGCTCTCAGCCTATAGCCAGTAGAGTGGAGATCCATAAAACTCCCTCCTTATGGGTTGCCAGATTTCAGAATAAACAAAAGATTTTTCTCCTTTATACTTCAGGTGAAATGGACTTTTATGGAGGAATCAGAAGGTTTTAAGAAGATCTCCCCAGTCACTCATGTTAGCAAACTTCAACAAAAATAGGACAGTCTCAAATTTAATGTGTGTCCTTTCAAAAGTCAATATTCTTCTTTAGAGATTGTGCTAATATCACTGATTAGTATTTTCAACAGAGGGTATTATAATAAATGCCAGTGGAGCAGAGGACGTAAAACTTTTGATAATCTAAACTAATTTCCTGCAGCTGCTGCTTGAACCTATGCATTCCTCTAGTGGCAGAAACACCTGTTTTTTCAAAGTGAGAAACATAACATCAGAAAAATAGGTTGTGTTATTTTTAATAGGCACTATACAGACTTTGCCTCAAAAGTGATGCTTTAAAAAAAGTTGAATAAACTCTGCTCTTCTTTCTTTCCCTTCATATCAGTTACATGAAGGCACTCTGTTGTTACTTTAAGTTTCTAAACATTCAGGAGCTTGCAAAAAAGTCTTTAATCTCAAGTGGCTAAAACAGGTTGTGAAGTAAAAAAATTGAACAAGGATTTTTTTCCCTACAATAGTAGCGGCCCATTAGAGAGAAATTTCAGGATGCATATACATGCAAGACTCGTATCTCCACCTACTTTATTATTATGTCCTTCAGGACTGCCCATCAATATCAACAACCAGTCTTCTCCATACACAGTCCTCTCAATACAGTGGTCTTCCCTTTCATTCTTTGCTATGGCATCTCAAAACTAGTATGGTAGCTAGCCCACATATGTTCTCATTTCAGTGCACAAGACAGTTATGCGAATTTGTCCCCAGCAAAGCTGCAGAGGACTGACCCAAGTGTTTCTGCAGGGCAAGTGGTCAAAGGAAGAGAAGAGCTTCATATTACTATACTGGAAATGAAAGAAGTTCATCTTACATACTTGGATTTCAAGAAGACAGATTTTTAGAATATACTGTGTTTGTCTGAATGGCACAATATAACCATTCATATGAAAGGGCATATTCATCTCAAAATGGACAGAAACAGGGACAAAACAAAACCAGCTTAGTTTCAGAGATTTTTTTTTGATTTGGCTCTTGGGACTGTAGCAAATCCAATGAATTCTGCAGGCATTGGTTACCAAAAATGACTTTTTCACCATGAATAGGAATCTAGTTCCAAAAGTGGATTAATTCTAGGCATATTTCTTTCTTGGTTTCATTGAACTAGCAACAATGATTCCTTCTTTCACTTCTGTTTCATTTAATTGGTTTCACCTGTCTGTTTGTCAATCGTACAGAGAGAGAAAGGGGTGGATACAGCTAGATTACAGGAATTACTTCAAGGTAGATGCCCTCCATCTCTCTGGTTAAAGGGTTGCATGAAAGAAGCATATATTCATTAGATGAAAATGATAGTAAAATATGATTCTGTAGTCTAGCAATTTAGGGTACTTGTGCTGGAAAGTTAAAAAATAGGTTCAAATTCTGTTCTTCATTCGCTGTTCTGTACATGGTTAAATGTGCTTTGAAAATGCTGGCCACCTTGTGCCTTGCAGGCAAGATAGATGAAAGAACATTTGCCATGGATCCCAGCAGGGGTAAAACATGAACTAAGCATCTACCTACCTATTCAGTACTGCCAAAATGTAGGCAGCTCTGGTTATTAAGCATTAGCTGCTTAAGAAACTTTACTTAAGAAATCCTGGCATCTTTAGACTTCAGGTGCCCCAAGGCTAGGTGGAAAATGAGCAGGAGTTCTGAGGATCTGAAGTGTGGATTTAGGCATTTAATTGTTACGAAAATTCTTTTTCTGGATCTTTTGCCACAGTTCAATATAGCCAAGATGTCACCCATTTACTGTTGCTAACTGGCAGGCCTTGTCATTTTAGATTCTAATAAATGTGCTGTCTTTGAAACTTCATCTTTATCTTGCTGTACTTTTTGTTTCCATGTGTTGACAGTTTTTAGAATGAGAAAATAGCGTGCAGCATTTACAAGGAGGGTATGACCATAAAAAAACTCAAAGGGAATAAAAATATGATTATTTTCATATTTGGTTTTCTAGAAATGTTATCAACAGTATTCCCAGCAGGTCATAGATGTACATAATACAAGGAGGTTAAAATGCTGTGAGGAATACGACCCTATTGTACATTTATAATGTTTTCATCCTAAGGATGGTTTCTCCATATTTTATGTACTTAACTACTACTTTTTGACTGCTAGATTTCCAGTTATGTTTTCAGATGAGCATAACATGTTAACCGTGAAACATTAATAATAGAGGATCTGAAATAGCATAATGGAGCTTGTTAGGCAGCCCTATGTTACATAAAATGGCAAGGATTTTGAAAGGCTTACAAATTAAAAGAATACACCAAAGTAACAAGATAAATGACACAACCTATATGTGTTATTAACTCAGTGTTCTCAAATCAAAGTGGAATATTCAAATTACTTTTAGCAAATAGAACTTGCATGGAAAAAATGAAAGAGTAAAGCTAGCTAGTCAGGGGTATGTACGTCTGCTGAGGTTAATGGAATTACAAAGGCTCAGTTCTTTCAAAAATTAGGCCACCAGAGAACTTACCTTATCCCATTTGACCATTCTGATCCAGGAACAGAGTCATGGGTGTTTTGTGGGCCAGACCCACGGTCAGAGGTAAGCAAGCAGGTAGGTGGGTGCTAGGACCCAACCATCACAGCCGTTTGTCCCCATGGCAGCATGGGCAGAGATCCCACAGCTGAGTGTCGCTGAAACCCTGCCTTCACCAGCCAGGTCCAATGGCTCTGTAGATTGCTGACCCCTGAAATGGATAGTCATAAGTGTTTTTATTGTTTTTCTTTGACATATTGTTCCTATCCAGAGCTCTGTGTGGCCATTTTCAATTGATTGTCTATACCAATGAGATGCTCATCTGACTTGTGCCATTTCCAAAGTTTAATAATTTATTCCAATTAAAGTTCACAAGAAATAATACCAAAACAATATAATAAACACATTGAAGTAAATGCATTATTTGTTTTTATTGGTATTCTTAAGGAACGACGTAAATTTGGCCCCTTGGGCTGGAATATTCCATACGAATTTAACTCTGCAGACTTTACAGCCAGTGTTCAGTTTATACAGAATCACCTAGATGAATGTGACATCAAGAAAGTGAGTGGCAATATTTTTTTTCTCTGATTGTTTCTTATTTCACAGAATTCCATTTTTTTCCATGAAGAATATTTGTTCTTTTAGCTAGGCCAGTAACAGGACAATCTAGCATGCTTCTTGTACACCGTTGTCCATGTGAAAACTGTATAATTATTTTAAGTATTTGATTTATTAGACAATGCCTGTAGGCCAATGCCTTAATTTCTTAAACAGGCAAAACTCCCTGGATTACAACAGGAGTTCTATTTAAAGATTTCAGAATTTGATCTTGTATTTTCAGAACTCTGAAATATGAATAGCCTTGAACCATACCTGATTAAAGCTATTATTCCTAACTAAGCATTTGCAGATGATCATATGTAAATCAATTAATTAATAAAGTAAGAATTTTAATTTAACAGGGCAGCTCCAGTAGGTGTGCATGAACTGCTCCAGTAGGTGCTTTATAGCATGAATTCTCTAATGCTATAATACTTTGGTGTCATATATGTACATGAAGAAACTATGCAGTTAAAGCCATATATCTAAAATTAGTTGCATCTCAGGCAGATTCATTCTGCTGTTCATGTAAAAATTAAGAATAGTCATTTATGACTTCATTAGTTCATTGTTTTTATTTAATCAATTAATGAATCCAGCTTTTAAGCTTCAGACCGGATTTATTGTTTCAAAGAGGTCAAGGAGCCACAGCAGTAGTATGGAGGGAGATTCTATACCATAAGCCTTGTATACATACAGAAGGAAAGGAAACACCTACAAACACCTTGCTGAGGATTCCCCTAACATGATGAAGTCCTTGATGCATGTAGCCACAATTTAGCTGGGTTCTCACAACTTTCCAGGATTGCAGAGAGAGGAAAAATGGGCAGCAGTTAGAGTGTACTGAACTTTGGTTATTTCCAGTTGATGTATAGTTATTTGGAAACTACAGCCAGAGTACAAGTTAGAACAAGTATCAGGCTACCTGTAGCAGTGCTGGATTGGAAAAGAGAATACGTGAACTATAACTTTTGGTTGGTTCTCAGTTTCGCCTCTTTTTATCCTCTCCTGAACTTCTGCAAATGATATGTCAGGAAAGGAAGCAAAATATACTCTTGACAAAACCAGTCAGACTCCTACCTTCCTTCTACTTTGCCTTCTATCTGCTAGACAAGAACCTAGGAATAGAATATCCATTCCTTTTCCTGTAATCAAGTTGCCAGTCAGAGAGCTGCTGAGAAACTAAGGAAGAAATAAGACAAAGGTGCCCAAAGCATTCCCAGTTTAAATTAGGCTGCCGTTAACACTGCAAAGGAAGTGGTAGGAAGTATTTGAAGAAGCAATGCCTCCTTGTAGTGACAAGCCCAATTCAAGGACTTTAGTCTAAAGACTAGAGGTTCAGAAAATATGTTTGAAATGCTTAATAATTTTTTATAAAGTAGCTTTGATGGTCATAGTTTTTTTCCAGCTGCTACAGTAGCTGAGGTCTCTAGGCTCCATCCCCTCTTTCAGTTTTCACTTCCTGCTCCAGCTTCAGGGGGTTGGGTAATTAAATCCCTGGCACCTGGGGAGCCTGCAGCATGATGCAGTAGGGCAGGAGAGGGCTGCCCACATGCCCGGTGCAGGGGGAGGGTGAGACCTGGGGGCCCACAGCTCACACTAGTGCAACCTCCAGCTATTTAGAAGTTGGATGGCCCTGCCCAAGATGCATAGGGGTTTTTTAAATAATTTTTTAAATTATATTTTAAATATTAAAAACATTTTTAACTTAATTTGCATCTAGGGAATATCATGGAGCACAGTACGGTACATGATTGGAGAGGTGCAATATGGAGGAAGGGTCACAGATGATTTTGATAAGCGTCTTCTTAATTGCTTTGCAAGGGTAAGAGAGCTGAAAATACACTCATTAGTCATTATAAACAACAGCTGTTTTAGTTGCCAGTATTCATTTTTACTAAAATATATAATAGTTAAAATTCTATAATTTTTAACAGCAGTTGGGCACATCTACACAAGATGCTTTACTGCACAGTAGCATAGTTTACTGCACAGTAAGCATGTACATCTACACATGCACATGCTAACTGCACAGTAAAACTCGCTAATCATGAATAAATTTGCTACTGCAATTGCAAGTAGCAAATATACTTTTGATTAGTAATGGTGCAGAAGCACTCATGCAGTTGCTTGACCTGGAGCAAATCTGCACCAGTGCAGGCTCTGCCACTGGAGCCCAGATGGGGACTATGATCCCCTGCCCCAGAAACAGGGAGCTCCAAGCCCCCTGCTCCAAAATTGTGACTGGGAAGCAGGGGCTGGGAGACCCTTATCTCATAGCCCCCGTTTTGCCATTGCAATTGGGGAACTGGGACTGGCAGACCCTTGTCTCCCAGTGCTAGCTCCGTGACAGCAGAGCCAGAGCTGGCATAAGGGTCTCCCAGCCTGAGGCCTGTGACTGTGGAGCTTGGGCTGGGAGATAACGATCTCCTAGTACTGGCCCTGCTGTTGTGGAGCTGGTGCTTGGAGATAAGGATGTTCTGGCGCTGGCCCCACAGTCATGGAGCTGGTGCTGGGAGCTCCCTTCTGGTGGGGGCTGGGGAACCTGTCCCCTGCCCAGCTCTGTGATCGCAGAGCTGGGTGGGGAGCAGGCTGGGGAGCTTGTTCTCCATTCAGGTCTGTGAGCACGGAGTTTGGCAGGGAACAGGATCCCCAGTCTGTTCCCCCCCCAGCTCCGTGATCACAGAGCTCAGCAGGGAACAGGCTCCCCAGCTTCTCTCCCACAGTCACAGAGTGGGGTCTGGGATCTGTCCTGGTCAGGGGCAAGTCCCAGCCCCATGCCCTGATCAGGTGATTGAGGCATGGGACTTGGAAAGAGCTTCAGGGGTCGGTTAGCTCCCAACCCCCTGCCCTGATCTGCCGATGAGATACCTAGCAGCAAGCTAGCTGCTAGCTTCCCCACCAAGGGACTGGGGCAGGGGGCTGGGACCTGTCCATTCCCTACAGCTCTTTCCATGTTCCCTGCCTCTGCTCAGCAAGCCAGGGCCAGGAGCTTCCTGCTGCTGTGGCAGGGGGACTTTGTCTCTACCCTGGCAGCAGGCAGCCCCTGAGGGCAGGATGTAATGTCCCAGCCCCTGCCAGGAGACAGCCCAGTGCTCCCTGCCAGCCCCTGGGCTAGCACCCAGTGGGAGCCTAGAGCTCCCCCTGGTGATGGCAGGGGCCCATTGTAGGGACCCAGAAAGTGGGAGCAGTTTGCTGCCATTAGCAGCAAATCTGCTCCTGATTCCCTGCATGTGTAGATGCCTGCCCAGGAGCATTTACTCACAAAAAGTTTACTCATGAGTAAACTGACCTTGGATCAAATGCATGCGTAGACATGCCCATTGTAATGCATGGAGGCAGAATACTTGTTCCTATTAAAGAGGTACAAGCTTACTAGTCTGTTTGTAACATGCTTGCATGTAAAATTAATTTTTCAAGAATACAATCTATCATTCTTGGCCAGTGAGACCTTCCACCTTGACTGCTCCTTTTAAAAGAGAAGCAGGGATACCTTTATAAAATGAAATTAACTTACGTAACGTAATTCAAGCTTTGAAATGATTACTTTGTAACAGCATAATATTACTTTATTTCGGAGTAAAATAAGCAGTGCTCATCAAAATTAGTACCCTGACTTCCCATAAAGTATGAAAAAATAATGAAGAGTTTAAACCTTTGTGTGAATGTCAAAATAAACAGAAGTTTTGATTTTTATGTTTCTTTTCTATACTGGCACAGGTGTGGTTCAGTGAAAAGATGTTTGAGACTGCCTTCTCTTTTTACACTGGATATAAAATCCCAGTATGCAAAACTCTGGAACAGTATCAAGAGTATATTCAGTCCCTCCCTGCCATGGACAGTCCAGAAGTCTTTGGTCTTCACCCCAATGCAGATATCACGTAAGTGGGTCTCAAATATTCTGATTCTAAGAACTTGGTCTTTTTACTGTTTGAAAACAATCAAAGCCTGCCAACATTCACAAGTATACTTTTCATATGGGAAATCTGGGACCTTTGTAAAGTCCACTTCGTAAGGAATTTCATGAACTCTTTGAAAGCCACACTTTCTAACTGAAGAACATATTTTTTTAAAATGTCCAACTATGTTGATGTAAATGCAGACTAAGAGCAGTCTAGGGCTTTAGCAATTTGACATGTTCTTTTAAAGGAATCACTTTAAAAATGATGAGAAGAAAGGTAAAGGATGTTTTTGGAGTATGCTAGCATTACACAACTTCATCATGAAATTATTCATGTTTTTGTTGATAAAAACTTTCATTTATAGTTTCAGGTACTGTGCAGGTCACAAAAGAAAGTTCAGCAATAAAATGTGTACATTCTGTCACTCCATGCATTTTTCGAGGGGTAGGAGAGAGGGGGAGGAATTAGTGGATACTTTGTTTACAGTATGCCTTTTTCTGTAGCTGTAATCATAGGTTGCCATCTATTTTTAATGTTTTGTGTTCTGTTATTTAAAATTGGTTTTTTAGCATCACCTGCTACAGTTTTAAGTTTTGTCTTTCACTTACTTTTTTCACCCTGAAATAATGTATGGAGTAGCTTGGGTTTTATTGGGTTTTATTTCTTCCATAAAATGTTGCATGATTTCTAACAAAATATTATGAATCATCAAAATGTATTTGTTTTTCTGATGCTTTTATCATTGTGGCAAGCATTATGCCATTAGTAAGCTTGTTCACACATCACACGTGTATCTAGGACATTTACAGATTTATCAAATATTTCCTTTGCATTTTAAACATGTTAGACATATTCAAAGGTGGTGTTATTGAGGGGCCCGGTGTCTTCTGGCATCTTTATTCAGAACATCATTGTGCACATTTCTTTGCCCCCAAATTGAAGGGTTGTGGGAAACTGAGATATTTTGCCCCATCACAGAGGTCATAGATATGCACTTTAATTACAATATATCAAAGTCCCACTATCCCATCCCAATTATCTTGGAAAATGAACATCAATTTAACATCAGCTCTGTTTATCACCTTCACCTCTGAGTATGTACCACAGAAGGAAAGAAGCTGGAGAATATATGCATAAGATCTGGTAGAACTGGATAAATGGTCTGACAAAATGAACTGTGATTTATTTAAATCCACAGGTGAAATAATCCTAAAAAGAAGCACTATGAAGTTCATAAATCATAGGGTTGGAAGGGACCGAAAGGGTCACCTGGCCCAACCACCCTGCATGAATGCAGGAATACTATTCCTAAATCATCCCTGACCAGTGCTTATCCAGCCTCATCTTTAAAATCTCCAATGAAAAAGATTCTGCAGCTTCCCTGGACAGTCCTTTCTACTGCCTCATTGTCCTAACAGTAAGGACGTTAATCCTGAGACATAATCTAAATTGATTTTGCTACAGTTTAAAGCATTGCCTCACATCCTATCTTGTACTGTGAGAAAGAATAGTTGTTTTCCCTCTTCTGTATAGCAGCCTTTCAAATATTTGAAAACTGCAATCATGCCTTCCCTTCATTTCATTTTCTTTGTGCTAAACTTATCTAGTTCTCCCAGCGTTGTTGTAAAGACAGAATTAAACACAGGCAGAAGATAAGCATTGACTCTGGCAGTACTAGAGAGGTCCATAGAATGACTGAAACTGCATATCATTCTGTTCTCAAATTTTCATTTTTCCTTTTTTCCCCCCCTTATTTGAGTAGCAGCACACTGTTGGATTTGTTTCTCTTGATTTTCCTTTGTTGGCCTTTCTTCAAAACAGGATGGGAAACTGCTCAACAATTCCAAGCTCTGTCCATACAGCGGGGAGGTATCATAGAGTCATGCTCGGTCTTCACATTTTTCAGTGATGACATACAGATGTGTCAGACTGGCACTTTGCAATAAAAAAGTGAAGATGTAGCAGAGAGCCTGTGGCTCTCTTCCAGAGAGAAAAGCAGCCCAGAAACGGAGCACTGCAGGCCAGGCAGGGTGCACCAGCTGCAGGGTGCCCTAGCTACTAGGTAGTGAGGCCAATTAGCAGGCACCTGGAGGCAGGCCAGGGCCCCAGCTAGCAAGCTAGTCTAGCCCTGCAAGCAGCAGGGGTAAGAGCTGCTGGCCAGGAGAGCTACCAGGGGATGCTAGAGGGACTGCTCTGTGGATCCCCAGTGAGGCTCAGGGAGCTCACAGGGCACAAGGGGTAAGGGAAAGATTTCCCTCTTAAGGGGACAGAGTGCTGCTTCTCCTTTTGTGCTGATGTTGGTGGGCCTGGAAGGGACTGTTTATGTTATAGCCCAGGGGCTTATTGTTTGAGTTGCAGTTTAGCACTGGTGGTTTGGGTTGGAACTGTAAGGGGTGGTATTCGGAGCTCCCATTAGTGCCCTAGGGGCACACAATTGCCTAGAGCCCTGTCAGGGTAGGTTTAAGGCCCAAATGAGTGTTGAGCCTGAGGCAGAGCAGAAAGTGAGGTCACGAAGCCAGACAGGGGCCAGGGGCCTGGTGCCCAAGAGGGGTACAGCCAAAAAGGGGTTCAGTGGCCTGGCAGATAGGGTCCTGGTGCCTGAAAGGGCTAGAGCACAGCTGGTGCCTCAAAGCCAAGTCCAGTACAGTGGGCCTGGGCTAGGAGGCCTAGCTAAGAGGTAGGGAGTGGCAGCCAAAGAGGCCAAAGCTTCCACAGAAGACAGTGATGATACAGCATCACCCATGTGGTGTGGTGTGGTGTGGTGTAGGAGGGGAACAAAGTCAGTCACATAATTAGCCCTTAAGGCTATAGGTTCCCTGTTGCTGCATGGTCAAGGGAGGCCCAGTGAGGAGCCTGAGTTTTACCAGATTTGCCTATCACTTTGGGGTGCACTCATTTATTAAGGGTATGCTTCTGGGGTCTCTCTAATTCTGTCAACGTGCTGCTTGTGTTACTTGTGCTTCTATATTCATAGATTCATAGATTATAGAGTCAGAAGGGACCCAATGGATCATCGTGTCCGACCCCCTGCCCCTGGCAGGAAAGAAGACTGAGGTCAGATGATCCCAGCCAGGTGACTGTCAAACTTCCTCTTGAAGACCTCTGAGTTAGGTGATAGTACCACCTCTCCTGGAAGCCCATTCCAGACTCTGGCCACCCTTACTGTAAAAAATTTCTTCCTAAAGTTTAACCTAAATCTACTCTCCCCAAGTTTGCACCCATTATTCCTAATTACTCCCTGGGGTGCTGTGGTAAACAGCGCATCACCAATTCCCTGCTGTCCTCCACTGATAAACTTATAGGCAGCTGCAAGGTCACCCCTTAGTCGTCTTTTGTAAAGGCAGAAGAGATCCAGATCTCTCAACCTCCCCTCGTAGGGTCTTTCACGGAGGCCACTAATCATGCGAGTGGCCCTCTTCTGAACCCTCTCCAGATTCTCAGTGTTCCTCTTGAAGTACGGCGCTATATGGAGCAGTATTTCTCCCTTCCGCAAGTCCTCACCCCAAATGGAGCTATCTTGCAGGACTCAGTTTCAATGGGATTGGGTTTCTCTAGCCACCAAATCAGTCAAATACATACACACACAGATTAACATGACACACCTGACCTGGCCGAATTGACCAGCATGTACACCCTCATATGCCAGGAATCAGCTCATCAGGGCAACAATAAAATGCAGTCAGACACAAGCACGAAGGTGAACAGAATACCTCTGAATAAGTCTGGGTATCCAGCTGACACCCTCATGGGCCAGCATTCAGTTCATTAGGGCACATCTGAGCCAAACTGGGTCAATCAGCCTATACAGGCTGATCCCCTTATGCGTCTCAAACCCAGCATGTCACAATCTTTTGCTCTAACTGTCCTAGTAATGGTAGCCTCTTAATGAGTGGACCCCACAGTATTTTTGGGCTTTACAGGGATCTTTGGCTTAGGTAAAAAAAACATTGCTGCAGAGCAAGTGGGGAAGTAGATAAGGAAAAATATACCCGGTTACCACCAGTTTGACTATAAAAGTTATTTATTGTTAAATGTATGAAATTTATGATGGTACTAATAGTAATAGCCATGCAAGGAAAAACAAACAGAAACAATTACAATATTACCTTGGTTCAATTGAGCATTTAGGGAAACCTAGCTCAAGCTTAACTAATACAATTCAGGTTCAGAAAGCTATGCCTAGTGAGAAAAAGAGAAAGAGAGAGAGAGAGGAAGAGAGAGCTGGGATCTTACCATTCCAAGGCACTTGGGTGTTTTGTTGACAGGCAAAGTTCCTAGCACGATCCTTGAATGTTAAACAGGTGATGAAAAGAGACAGTCTGTTTATTCCAGCTTCTCAACACCAACAGCGGATGGTGTCAGTGAGATTTCTGCCTCTTGAAGCACTGTTTGCTGGTTTACTGTTTTCTTATACCCTTAGTCCAGCCTCTTCAAAGCATTATTTTAATTGTGTAAATTAAGAGAGTCCCAAGCCATAATTGACGGAGAAAATCCTGTTATTTAAACAGTTTCAATTTAAACAAATTACCTTTTTCAGTGACAAGGGGTTATCTGGTTTGGAACGTCTCAAGAAGCTGATTAATAACCAGGAAAAACATAAAGTTTTAAGAAGTAACTAGACACCTAGGAGCCAGCTTGAAATCATTATGAATATAGAAGATAAACTGGAAGGGATACCACTTTATTTCTTCTCAGATGGCCTAGCTATGCTTGCACTGTGAAGTCAGCATCAGTGTTTTGTATTTTACCTGTTGTGAATAAGCCTCACCTTAACATGACTTTCAGATCCTATTGTAGTCTTTTACTGGTGCCTTGATTTGGCCTGTTTTCTAAAGCAGGAAATCCCAAGTGCACATGGAACATACTCCATAGTTTCATAGTTTCTAGGGTTGGAAGGGACCCGAGCAGATCATCAAGTCTGACCCCCTGCCTTGGCAGGAAAAGGTGCTGGGGTCAAATGACTCCAGCAAGGTGATTGT